CCCAAAAAAAAATCCTCCGGGTCAGCCGGACTTCAAACCTTCAAACCGCGCCTTCCTTGAGTGGGACAGTAGTTTGTACCTCACTGCGCCTGATAAGCTCCATTTCACAGCTTTGTTCCCAGAGTGCGTATTAGCGAGAGCGAGGCTGTGATGGACTTTACGTCGCGGCCAATAAAACGAGTGATGACTCCCGTGATAGCCCAGATGCGTGGCGGAGCCGTGCAGATCAAGAAGTGAGGACAAAAAAAAGAAAATGATTGCAGCCATGGGGGAAACCGGGCGAGAAGCGAAGAGGGAAAGTAGGGGGGGGGGAGGTTTCAGTGGAGCACGATCTAGTCTAGGCAACAACACAACACGCTGGTTGGTTAGGATACGAGAGACAAGAGAGGTTTACTGAAAACATTTTCCTGTCATGAAAACGCTCTGTCAAGGAGCCCAAAAGTTCGCAAAACACGTCATCTTCATTAATTTATTAAGGACGTACCAATCATGGGCAACCTATCCACAATTTTCACGTCGTGTTATCTTATGAAAAGACGGAGACTCAGCAGAAAAGAGGGTAAATATTGTTTCAGCCAACCATCTTTTCTCTTTTTCTTGCAGTTGTGCTGTCGACGGAGGGTGCACCGGCTCGGGGCGGCTTGACCGAGCTGTACTGTACTCTACCTCAAGCTGCGCCGTCTGGCCTACCCCGCCCCGCCTCACCCCACTCCACCCCACCTCGCCCCACCACGCCACGCCACACCGTGTGCCAAACGGAAGTCAGTGGCCTACGTTTCCTCGCTCATGTAAGTAACATACCCTCTACGGTAAGCATGGCAGCATGGCACGTCCACGTGCCGCCGAATTGGAAAATTAGTAGAAATAAGACTCGCCAAATTTGATAAATTATGTTTTGGATTCTTAAACATTGCGCGTTGAAAGGTCATGAATGGTTTAGCGTCCGATCTCTAAATTGAATAGTCAAATAAGGCAAACACAAACACTTCAAGTAACATTTTTGAAAAGTTTGATTAAGAACAAACGTAATTGCAATGCGTCGATTGTGCTATCTGTCCTGCAACTGTGACTGAGACAGAAACTAACCGCCATGAAAAAAAATATATTGTCAGGCATCTTCCATTTGGTTACTTTTTACGACTTTCACGATGTCAATTATTTCATCTTCGTACATTTATTTTCAGCCCCACAGCAAACAGCTGCCAGCGCACCCCGAAAAATATACAAAATTGATTGGACTGGACTGCGGCGGGCTTCAGCGCGTTGGAAGGGTACCCGCGTCGTTACGCCCCGTTCTGGTGTGGCCACTGGCCGCCCCACCCCACCCCGCCCCACCCAGCCCGGTTGGGCGATTGGGGGTCGAAGGGGTTATCAGTCGTCGCTGCGCGCAACAACCAGAGTGGCGTAGCCGCTCGGCTTTAGGCGAGGTATCCTGTCTTGTGTCCCCCCCCCTCCCTCTCTCGTTTCGACTGATGGTAGTGACCGCTCCCCGTCTCGCACAATCCAGGCAAACACGCCACCGCATCTTGTAGGCCTGCTTTGCTTACACCGTGCGAGTGGGGGGGAGGGGTGCCAGAGCTTCCCGGAAGCGCCTTTTAAGTCAGTCAAAACAGCTTAACAAGGGATGGTAGAAGTACGTTTTCTCGGTGCACTCTTGCACGCCTCCGCGAGCCATGAGCGCCAATAAGCTATTTCAGACAAATGGGAAAGAAGCACGAATAACAAGGAGGCCTGTGATTCGGCGCGCAGTTGGGGGAGGGGGGGGGGGACCGGGCGACGAATCATGGGCCACTTTGTTATTCGCGCTGTTCTTCTTTCCCATTTTTCTGAAATGGCTCATTGTGCCAAGCGCGCATATTCAGTGAGCATAGAAATGCACTGAAAAGTGAAAATGCGCATTGCAGAAAAATGATGCATTTCATGCGCTTTCGCAAACGTAAGATGAGCAAGGACATTTTTCAGGCTTGTCAAAAAACTGCTTCTGTATTCTCGGTAAAACTTGTTTGAACGGAACGATATGAGCTAAAAACTCCAGAGATGAAATACTAATGTGACATGTGGCACTTTTACAGTGTTCAGTTTCTCGAACTTGGCTGCTCACGCGGTTCCGCGTTGAAACGATTCTTGCCGTCTCAAGACGGGGCGAGACGAGACGAGGGCATTCCATCGATTTGCCGACGATTAGAAAATAATAACAATTAGTACGCGATCCCTCCCCCCCCCCGCCCCGCCCGGTGCACCATGCACGCGGTGCGACCGACAGTGCACCTCGCGCCCCCCCCACACACACACACACTGCACCCCCGCTACGCGGGGGGTCGCTCTTATCGCCCTTGCATAACTCCGACGTGTGTTCTGAACGCACGGAGTCGGTCTGAGCGATTAGCGGGGCTCTGCGCGCTGCAGCACGCCGACGTGTTCACGTGTTCAGGGAGGTTCAGACGGCCAGGAGAGGTAAACGCACGTCGCGACATACAAGGGCCGCGCGAACCAAAAGTTACTGCGACCGGTGGCATTTACTACAGGCTGCTAGTGAAGTTAGCGTCTGAGGTTTGTTCACAACCACATTCACAATTGCTGCGTTGACACACGATACAGTCGACCACATCTTCAGGAACGTGTTGTGCAGCACGGAGCAAGGCGTTCTAATTTCCCACAGCCTTCCGCCCGCACGCACGGCACCCCCTTCCGACCACTCCTCACACTGGCTGACGTCTTTCAGGGCACAGTAATTTGGTGGTCTAAAAATATAAACGTCAGAGACGGAGGGGAAAACAATACTGGCGATATCGTCCTGTTTTAGACGCGCGCGCGAGATAAAAACGATAGTATCGACGCGACGAGAGGAGGCGGACGGGGCGGGACGATAGGCTGGATACGAAAGAGGTGGCGCGATGTCGGGCCACGGAGAAACGACGCTTTTAAACTCAGTCTTGAAACGTCGCTGGACGAGCCTCAAAGGCCGCGTGTGTCAACCTAACCGGGTCGCGGGCGGAGGGCGCCACCGCGAGCCTCGCCGCTCCGCTGCCTCCGCCTCGCGGACCGCGCGCGGGTCACTTGGAGACCGTTGACGTTTCTTTATCTTTGGAGCAACGTTCTAATTGAAAGAAAATTCCCCCCTTCCCCTTCCCCTTTTTCTGCCGGCTGACCGCGCGGGACGACAAGCCGCAGTCGATGCAAGATGCTATATTTGTGGCGCTTGTGCTTCGAAGCACTCCACCGAGCGTGAGAGCGCCGCAAGGAGTTTGCGCACCGTCGCGTTACCGGCTAGGCAAACGTCACCTAAAGGAGAAGCCCAGCGAGAAGTGTTGATATCGAAACGATATCAGACCGATGTCGATATCAGAAAATTATGAATGCCAGAAGACTGCCGATTTCCGTGTCGAACCGATCCCGAAATGGTCATGAGATCGACGACGCATTTCTGTGATCTTTGATGTCGATTTGATACCGCGCCGATTTCGATCTCTAGACGGGAGAAGATCGAAACTAATACAACGCTAACCAGAGATTGTTGCGTGGCGACGAGAACATTGCTTTGCACCCATACACTTCGTCGGCAGGCACCCAGACTCCTGCTTCCAAACCAAAATACCCTGTAAAAATGTTGTAAATCTCTGCCCCGTGTAAAGAAACGTTTGGAATATAAGAAGAGGAAGGCGATAACACTACGATAACACTGCCCCCGGTGGAAAGGCAGCATCTACAGAGCGAAAATTTTGTGCATTTTCACAACCCGTCAAAGGCGCCTCTGGAGCGCTCCAAACATAGCCAAAACTGTCCTGTAGGACGATTTTGTGATGTCTTTTGATGAAAAAGCGCCCCACATGGTGCTTTTGGGGTATGTTTGGAGCGCTCCAGAGGCGCTTTTGATGGGTTTTGAAATTTGCGCTCTGTAGGTGCTGCGTTTCTCCCCGGCGCAGTTCTGTACCGAGTGATTCAGAGAAGACAGGCGGGTTTGCCTACCCGCTCTGCCCTTAAGGCGCCATGGCCCCTTGGGTAGGCAAACCCGCCCTCACCTGCGTCTTCTCTGAATCACCCGGTACGTCACGTGTCCACCTGCAAGCTGTACTCTCGTCTCCCGATACAATGTGGTGCCCTCCATTGGGCTGCTCAAAGGTCGGCAGCAGACAGCCCGGGGAGCCCAGACCAGCCCACAGCCCACGCAGGCCCTCTCCGACAAAGGGCCTGTCGCCTCGCACGTTTCTCGCGTCGCGCCGATCACTGGGTGAAGGCGCCGGCTTGAATCAGCAGCGCCCGGCTCGGGCAGGGCGGTCTAGACTTGATAATGGTAATCATTACAGAATCGAGACATCTAGAGCCCGGCCGGGCCCCGCCCCGCTCGCCCAACGCCGGCCGCTCACTCCCCGCCCCCGCCCGCTGTTCTGCGCAGTCCTGCAGAAGGCTTGTTGATCGCCGCATACTCTACACCACGCCAAATCTTTATTTTTCGCGTCGGGCGCGGAGGAGCCTGCTGTAACTTATTCGCATGGTTTCGTCATGAGAAACCATGAATGGGCCGTGGCGGGCCGTGGCGGGGCGGGCTGGGACGGGGTGGGAC